TACAAGTTGATTTGGGAGTGAACTGAAAGAAATGCAGACATGGAAAAACAAGAGTTTCTGTCATAAGAATTTAGGGGAAGAAAAGTATGACTTCCCCTTTTTATTGTACCCTTTAAAATAATTGTTGTTTACAGTATATTACAGAGCACATCCATGAATGCCAATTAGACTAGCAGTCAGAAGACAGATGAAAACTCTTTAATTGAACAACACATGGACAGGCTGAACCATAGTTTCAACTGGGAGACTCTGAGCATTCTAGAAGATCAAGCCAAGTTAAAAAAGACTACCGTATTCCTGGAAGCGTGGTACTCAAAAACAGGTTAAAAAAAAACCACGTCATCTACACATCATTCAAAAGAGATAAATCAAAATTTCAAAAAGGAAACAAAAAAGCCAATATTTTCTCATTAAGTATCAACTACTAGGTGAACAAATACCAACACCAAGATGAACACTAGACTAGAACAGTCAACAAATAAACAATACCCCAATCAAGAAACTTCCAACTTAGACAAAAAGCTAACAGTAAAAACAGCCTAATCAAGGGACTATAAAGAAGATTCCCACTGACAGAAATAGGGAAAGCTACTTGTATATAAATAGAGAGCAGATCCCATTCCCTTCTAGCATTAATGATATTACCTGCTTTGATACTGAAATGTCTGCAAGACAAAAGGACCCCACAGTATTCATGAGGAACAGTTGCTTAAAAATAGCTGTCGTATCAGCACTTGAATACAATAGCTTTACAGTAGCAAAGCCTGCATCCTAAAAAAAAAACATAACCTTAATAACAATAATAATAAATGATTGCCAAAACGGTAAGCATAATAATTCTTTGCCAATTGTTTTGCCTTGCGGCTTTTGCCAGCATCTGATTGAAAGAAACAGAGAAGGAGATTAATGCCAAGGAGAATGTAGAAAGGAACCATTTTATTCCCTGATCTGTTTCTTTGTTTTCTCTGCTTGTTTTGATTTTATCTTCCAAAGCTGTAAAGGGAAATATGGTGCTTATGCAACATTAGAATTAGTGGCAGTCAAGGATGCCCAAATTTCACCTGCCAATATGAAAGAGAGAGGGCTTTGTGGCCACCATCTTGGCACTTTTTTATTAACCCTCCCTGCAGATGCCCGTGGCTGCAGTCAAAACTCATGAAAATCACATGTCAATCTTTGAAAAAGATTTATGCCTTTCTGAAAAAAAGCTATATTCTCTTGCGGAGCCATTTTTATGCCTCCATGAGTCTACTAGCGTTAGATTGTCCATCAATTCAAAGAATGTCTTTGAATTTACCCTGGGAGGGTTTGATCCCCTTAATAGATGTTCTATCCCAAAGTGGCGAAGTCACACCATTCCAATCCCCCAACATAAGCCAATTTTCATATGAAAAAGGCAGGAAATTGCTTTTTTTCCGCTCATTTGGCATATAAAGACCAATCACTATTGATTTTGTTCCATTAAATTCAATTTCTATCATTACAAATCTACCATATTCATCTCATCAAAGTAGCCTAGGTTTAAACTGGGGTTTTATATATAACACCACTCAATTAATATTTTTTAGCCCAGCAGATATAAAATCTTCCCCATGTCTTTCATTTGTTAAATATTTCTGGTCTTGTTTTTAATATGTGTTTCTTGAAGACAGATTATATGAGCATTAAGTTTTCTCACATAGTGAAACACTTTTTTAGGCTTAGATGGGGTTTACGAGAAGAGATTGGACAGCCATTTGTCTCTAACGGTACAGGGTCTCCTGCCCTGGGCAGAGCTTGGAAGAGAAGACCTCCAAGGTCTCTTCCAACCCCATTGTTCTATGTTCTATGATTGCTCTTGGTTATCTGCAACTGACAATAGGTCTGTAATTATACAATGGGAGCTGCACAATGTGGGTAGTGCTGATTTTCAGAGGTCTCCAGGGACAGGTCCTGGTTCCAAAGACTTAAATCTGGCCCTTCTTTCTTTGTTGCCTACTTTCCCCCAAAAAATAAGACTTTAATCCCAGTGTAACAATTCTATAAGTGTATTGGAAATGGCTGCTGCCAGTTATGGAATATTGTGTCTTGGCAAGGAGACACTTCTTCTCAAATACAGTAAACTTCATCCTCTTTGGAAACATCTTACTGACAGCTCATGAATGACAAATGAGACCTTGTTCTCCTTCCTTTTCTATTGATTCAGGAGTTTATGCCCATACAAATATTTCCAGTTTTTCTTGCCTTGCAGAGAAGTTTCTATCAACTGATGAGTGGGGTGAAACGGATATTAACTTCCTGGAGAAAATACTTCTCTGAGGTTCTCTCACTAACTTTTTTTTAAAGGTTAACTTACAAAAAGGAAGAATGATCCCAGCATGCTTTGAATCATCTGCAAATCTACCAAGGTCTATTCTAGACTGTCCAATGAATTTTAACATTTATTTTACTTTGGAATCTTTTTCAAGGGCCAGTGTGATATAAATTAAGATGTTGGATTGGACTCGGGATAGCCATGTTTAGGTCTCCAGTTGCCATGCATCTCACTGGATGACTTTGGACAATTATTTTTCTTAGCCCAGACTAACTCCCAAGATTGATGCTGTGAGGATGAAATGAGAAGTGATGTCACTTGAGCTCCATGGAGGAAATGAGGGAGATGAATGTCAGAGAATAAAAGAGATTCTTGAATATAGCTCTTCTGCAGCAATTTTCTTAGATTACATTGATGTGTTTTCTCTTTATATTTCTTCTCTTTGACCAAGATAATATTATTTGATTTAGTTCCTAATAACTCCTAGATTATGACAATAGATAATAAGACACCAGCAAATACAACACAAAATCCACATGTAAATAGAATAAAAAAGGAAAATATAATTGTTCTAAAATATCTAAAAAAGATTAAATATGGCATTCTGTACAAATTATAGGACAGTACTTGGCTATACAAGGAAATACAATCAGATTGATCCAATAATAATAATAACATCTAGAAATAAAGCACATCAGAATGACCAGATTATTTATTAAAAATAGAAATAATAATTCTTGGTAAGCACCTGAATAGAGAGGACAATTCAGAATAATGTTGTTGTTAATTGCAAAGTTGTGTCTGACCCATCGCGACCCCCTGGACAATGTTCCTCCAGGTCTTTCTGTCCTCTACCATCTTCTGGAGTCCATTTAAGTTCACACCTACTGCTTCAGTGACTCCATCCAGCCACCTCATTCTCTGTCATCCCCTTCTTCTATTGCCCTCAATCTTTCCCAGCATCAGAATAATATGTTCCATCAATTTAATAATTCCTCTACCACATGGACAGAAGGGGATTTTTTGCTATCCTTCAGTAATTGCTGTTGGGAGGGCATTGAATGAGTAGGGCTGGAGACTCTGCTTACAGCTCTAAATCAATGGCCACTGTTTGAGATCAGCTGCCAGTGCCTGTTCATGGCCCATCATGGTGATGGTTGGCCAGGAAACCCATAAAGTTGAAATTTGGGATGTATTGCACTGCTCTAGGAGCACTAAAAGCTGTCAGTCACAATTAAAAAGGCCTGTCAAGCGCATATAACCATTTGTTGCACTCAAAGCAGAGAAGAATTTATGATTGCTACCTCTAATGCAAAAACCTCAAGAGGTTCACCTCCTAATATAATTGAAAAGAACAAACAGATCATTGAGATGTACCGAAGCTTCTTCTTCTAAAGAACGGCATGCATGATAAAATATGGGAATCCAAAGAGGCAACTTCGACCTAAACAAGAACTGCTACATCAGCAAAGAGGGCTGAAGGATTCTTGAAGCTGAAAATTTGGCAATAAGTCTTAATGAATTTTGTAGAAGGGATGGAAACCCTAAGACCTCCAGATGCTATTAAATTAAAATCTAGATACATTGACCACACTGTGTAGGGCTGTTGAGAGATGCCCAGTTGATTGGCAATATCTGGAAGTCTAAGGGACAATTAGTAAAGGTAAGGCAAAAGATTCTGAAAGAATAATCCTTATGCAGAGAATATATATACCTGTACATACATTCACCCAGTTGAATAAAATGCAGATAGAAAAAAAAATAACTGGACTAAGCTAGTGAATTCCTGAGCAAACGTTGCTGCATATGTTTTGTTTTCATACTGGAGGTAGAAGAAAAAATAAATAATGGTGATTTTACCGAATGAGGGAGCATGTGGAGGAAGAGAACAGATGGGGAATCCTAACATCTTGCACAGCCCAGAATGTGGAAGAAGACATGGAGAAAAAAACCCAAAAACTTGGACTTAGCTAAAGAAAAAAACTGAAAGCAAATTTCGATAAGGGAGTGTGTTAGATATACTATAATTATCAGAAACCTGTTTTTCAGGCTGTTGTGGTGAACAACTAAAATAATTTACACAGAAAATTGGCTTATGGAGTAGCTAGTTATCGATCAGTCCAGAAACTTTTTTATAGTCATTGACCAATTCATACAAAGAAAAAGACAAATTCAAGCTGTAGCAAATACATCTTTGATAAAACTATTTACAGCATATTTTATACAGCATATTTTATAAATAATACAGCAAACGTAGCCACATTCATAGAAAGAAAAACTGAGATCAGACAATGATTATTTAGAGAGTATTAATCTGAATCACCTGGAAATGAAGAACAATTGTCATAGGGCAGAAATATGTGGTGATCTCGAAGTTTCCTTGTCTACCAACATACGTGTGATGATCTCTCCTTTCAGAAGTAAATATGGAGCTACAGAGAGACAAATTAATGGAGGAGAGTGAGGTTGTTCAGCTGAGTAGCAGCTATGAGGAATGACCCCAATCATGGAATTCTGGATTTCTCTTCATTCTTTGATCACTTTAAACCAGAACCATGTTCTCACTTCAAGGAAGCTGATTGGGTAACTCATTTTTAAGGTGACTGAAAGGGAAAGATTTTCCTCCCTTTTTCTATTATGAGAGAAGAATTTAGAAATTTTAGATCAAACTCAGCATCAAACTGAGATAAGAAAAGCATTNATATGCTTAGCAGTCTTTCCTTATCAAGGTAAGATGTTCTCTTTGGTTCCCTTGTTCAGATTCTTACTGCTAAAAGACTATTGCACCCAACAGATTGCTATGTTGATGGGTTTTATTTTGGGTTTTATTTTTGACAATTAACCAAAATTTATTCCACTTCAGTTTCTACAGATTTAGCAAAAGAATGCTCTCAAGGATCTCATTTGTTCTAAAGTTACATAAATGGTTTCTTGGTATTTGCTTAAATTTTGTCAAGCCACGTGCAGATCCTAAGAAAGAAAAGTCCTAAGATTGTATATTATTCAGCCAAACAAAAGCTAGTGCTATTGTGGTTGCAGAGAATCTTCAAACTGTACTTAAGATAATATGACACTAACTTTTCTCAATGCAAGATTTAGAATTATCTTAAATTATTTCTTCCCTCCTTTCCTTTTACTCTGCAGAAAACCAGGGAGATTCCCTTCTGAAATTCTTCCCAAGTTCTCCTTCCTTCCTTCTTTTTACAAGCTTCTTTTCTTTTTCCTTACAAAGGGAGCTCTATAATCCTGGAATCTGGGAACGTTAATGATTATGAAGTCGTGTATCCACGAAAAGTCAGTGCATTGCCCAAAGGAGCAGTTCAGCCAAAGGTAAGAGAAAGATCTTTGTTTCATCAACAAATTATTTCTTGTCAGCCCACAGAAATTTTGATATTCCTTTTCTGCCATCTAACGGTTATCTGGATTTTGCATTGCAATCTATGTTCCTGCTTGAATTATTTATTTATTTATTAAACAAATTTATATGGCCGCCCAATTCATACCAAATTGAGGAGACTCATGGCAACTTACAAACAGAATTTCCTAATATTTATAGGTTAGTATAACTAAGCAAGTGTTGGGAAACACCCAGCTGAACAGTGAGGAGGGATCGAATGGGGAATTAGCCTTGAGTCATTTCATAGTTGCAACAGATCCAGGACTGACATCCCACCCCCCCTAAACCAGGAAATTCCATTAAAGTTTATCTATCAGTTCTGAAGAGAAGGGAAGTAGTCTAGGGAGATTCCTGTATTATAGGCAGAATACAATAAAGTACTTAATTTAAAGTCTACATGTGTGGATCTGGTTACCTGTGCCTAACATAAATTTACTGTTAATAGGTAACTTTGAGGGATTTCTTCTTCTGTTTTATGCTCTTGGGTCATCCTTCACAAAAGCTGTGAAAACTGTGAACCATGAGATTTCAAATTATACTTTCTAGCTTCCCAGAATGCATCACTTTGAAATATAAAAGTTGTGTTTCTAGGTGAAGGTGGTATAGTGATGGGGGTTACAGCTCAAGATTAGGACTAAGAACCAGACAACTTTTGAGTCAGTCTCTCTGTCCCAGCTCAACCTCATTCACCAAGATGTTCAATTAGAGAATGAGATCTTGAACTTATGCAGGAAAGTTCATTTAAGATCTTACATTTCAAAGCACCAGATGAAATACTCTAAATCTAATGAATAATTTGGCTATTTCAGTATGAAGACGCCATGCAATATGAATTTACAGTGAATGGAGAGCCAGTGGTCCTTCACCTGGAAAAAAATAAGTATGTTAACTCAGACTATTTCTTAACTTTACTTGGACAATATGGACAATGTATGTTCCTGGACACAATCTAAGAGAAATAATAATTGCATTCCTTTGTTTGGAAATTAAAACTAAATTAATGTTAATAGCCATTCTCATGGGATTAAAATACCTGCTCCTTTCCTTTGATACCAAACAAGATGCTTAAAACTTATTATAAAATTATTTCAGTCCTACTTAATTCCTGACATAGAGATTCTCTTTTTGCATTCTTTGCAGAGGACTTTTTTCAGAAGATTACAGCGAGACTCATTATTCCCCTGATGGCAGAGAAATTACAACAAAACCTCCGGTTGAGGTGGGGTCTTAATTTTAAGAGTCTTCCTTTTAGGAAGTAAATTGAAATAAATGTTTGTGCACAATATTACAAATATACAAGAATGAGACCAGGCTACTCAAAAAAGGGCTATATATGTATGAAGTATCTTATATTGATATGCTCTTAGAAGGATATATGGATTGTTATACCCAACTTGTTTTACTCATTGAATTACCATGGCAGCATTTCAATAATCCAGTTCTTTCTTACTGGTCAAAAATCAACATTTGTAGGAGTGAATTTTCATTTATAAACCAGACTACAGGGATACATGCAAAGTCTTTCATTTGTAATGCCAAAAGTGATAACAATTCACTCTCCTCCTATACAGAAATCCATAAAATATCTTTCACATTAAAAGGGTTCAGAACATGGCCTGCCAACGGCAAAAATATGACACCACTAACATGCTTCGTGAAGTCCTTGGCTCCTTGCCCCCAAATTGATCTAAACGTGCATCCTCAGTCTCCAAAAATTATCTACTTCTGGCTTAGCATCTTCAAAGGTCATACAAATTGCTCCTATTTAGTTTGTAACAAACATATCTTGATTTTAATGTCTACATGGATCCTGCTTCCAGATAATGCTACGAATTATATCTCTCAGCATATTTCTGAAAGCTTTCCTTGTGTGAGCTCAAAGAAATAATGATTATCTGGTATCATTGGTAAATGTGGAATTTTTCATACATTATGGTAAGATTTCAGAACATAGGACAACCATAAGTCTGAAAGTTTCTTCAGCAAATCCTGTGGTTCAGCACTAGCGTTGACCTCCAAGAAAACATTTTATATTTGTGTGTTGGTTGTCTGCCCAAAAGTTCTTAGCTTTGTGCTATAAGTGGGACTCCCCCTACAGTGTGACTTGATTTATGGAGAATTGCATTTATCCTATGTTCATTTTGCAACAATCAATATTAAGTAGGTCTTCTGTCCTCCTAAATCAAGGTTTTCTGAATAACTGCTGTCTTAATATTTCATTGATGTGGTGGAATACATTGGAACTATACTTCTGCTCATCAAATCACACTACAAACCAACTTTAACCAGTGTAGTCCTCTTGCCTCCCTCCAGGATCACTGCTATTATCATGGACGCATCCAGAATGATGCTGACTCAACTGCAAGCATCAGTGCATGCAACGGTTTGAAGTAAGATAATCTCTAATCTTTTATTTATTTTATTAAGAATAATATACTGCTCTTGGAGTTGTCACAGTTAAAATGAAGGACATCAGTTTTTAATGGAAATGAGTTGGGTGTGATCCAAGACTTCTGCAGAATTAAGAAAGACTTTGGTTGAATACCAAGAAGAGCTGCTGCCAGCCAGTAGAGACACTAGAAAGCTAAATCAGATGTGTCTAAAGGAGCTTCCAAGCCCCTGTCTCCTTTACATATAGGAAGTGATGTTACAGGTAGAGAAGATAAATAGGTTTCAGATTGCATTCCTTTCTAGAAAGTGTACAGGAAGAGGCAAGCAGACTCTTCAGTTCTACCCAGAAACACTTTCTTGAGCCACTCGTCACACCTTCTCCAACCAGCTTGATATCTTAGCCACATAAAGATCCCATAATTCAGAAGGTCCTTTTCATTAGTCAGAATCAATGTCCTCTCAACATCTGTCACTGAAGGAAGACACTGAAATATCCCCTTTGAACAGAGACTGTGTCCATGCAGTGGAGGAATAAATGAAAAGATGGAACATAGCAGAATAACAACAGAATAATAAAGGAAAAACAGAATGACAGAATAACAGCATTGAATGGGACCTTGGAGGTCTTCTAGTCCAACCTCCTGCTCAAGTAGGAGACCTATATCATTCTAGAGAAATAACTGTCAATCTGTTGTTAGAAAGCAGTAGTGATGAAACACCCACAACATCCGAATGTAAACTTTTCCTCTGGTTAATTGTTCCAATTGTCAGAAAATTTCTCCTTAGTTCTAAGTTGATTCTCTCCTAGATTACTTTCCATCCATTGCTTCTTCTCCTGCTATCAGGTGATTTGGAGAATAGGTTGTCCCACACTTTTTTGTGATAGCTCCTTTAATATTGAAAGACTATCATGTCATCTCAACTCCTTCTTGTGGTTAGCCTGAATGTACCCAGTTCCTGCAACCATTCATCATATGTTTTAGTCTCTAGCTCCTTGTTAGTCTGCATTGTTATTCATGTTATTCTGTATTGCCTTCTCTATGAAGATGCTTGCCAAGAATTCTTATTTCCATTCTTTATTAAATATCCTGGTCATCCTGACTCTTATCTTAAATTGCTATCAGATCAATCTGATTTTATTTCCTTGACCACAGCCAAATACTGTTCTATAGTTTGTAAAGTAAATTGCAGTATTTCCTCTAATTCTTTTTATATATTTTAGAACAATTATATATTTCTTTTTTTAACATAATTAGTTGGATTCTTGAGCTTTATCTGTTGGTCATGTATATGATAAATATAAAGTATTTCACCCTTATGAGATAAATTTTTACCCAAAACCAGAATCTTTGAAATAGCTTTAATCTTGCATTTGTATAGCTAGAAACTTTATTTTTTTAATATCCTAAGAAATATACAATATTGGATTCCATGCCAAGTATCTCCAAACAAATACTGTACAGATATTTCATGGTTGTATTGAGTGTGTGCAATCTCTTATATCTTTCTGTTTATAGCTGTATCTTTGAGAAGTATGAGAAAGGGATATGAGTGCTGAGGAAAGAAAATAAAAAATTCAGTGAGTGTTAAGAAGGAATTCAGAAACACAGGGAATGTTGACTTGGTTAGTTAAAAATGGGTCTCAGAGCTGAGTTTCACTACCCAACTAGGTAACATCATCAGTGCAGGTGATCTCTGAACTAATCATATTCTCTTCTGTTGCTTCTCCATCTCTGATCACCCTTTTCCACATTGTTTTACAGAGGACATTTCAAGCTTCAAGGGGAGACGTACTTTATTGAACGCTTGAAGCTTCCCGACAGTGAAGCCCATGCAGTCTACAAATATGAAAACGTAGAAAAAGAGGATGAGGCCCCCAAAATGTGTGGGGTAACCCAAAGTAATTGGGAATCAGATGAGCCCATCAAAGAGGACTCTCAGTCAAATCTTACTCCTGCAGTAAGTCTCATAGCAAACATAGTTTGAGAACCGGGATTCATTTACTTTTTTCTAAACTGTAAATTAAGAGAGAAATTCTTTGGGGGAGGGGTGATTAGATAGAATTCAAAAGGGAGCCCCCCATTTCAATCTTTTTATTCTAGCCATGGTATAAAAGAAATAATGGAAACTTGATGAACAGAAAATACACGTTCCAGGCTTATAGCATTTTCTTTGGTCATACAAACTTAGTTTGGAGATTTGAATCAAAATGGATTTAAATGAATCTCCAAATCATCGCTACTTTCTAAGTCAGTTTTGAAAAGTAATCAGATTATCCATTTGGATGCCTCTTTTATGCATGCAGAGAGGACTTGGGATGGGGGAGAAACTGGTTTGAAATATTTAACCGTTTTGAGATTTGTGATAAGATCATTATATAATCTTGATTCCATTTTCCAGTTTGATTTGAATCATCAAGTTATATTAGCAATGATTGAATAAAAAGTGACAAATTGAATCTGGTCACAATTGACCCTCATACTCCCAATATTTTCCTCCTTTACTGGAGGAAGAAAAATTAGAAAACAAAATGTTGCATCCAAAGTGACAGTTCATTCCTTCCTTTGAATGGCAAACGTTGAAACTGCCTGATACATATCTAGAAGTTCAAAATCTCAACTTTTTAAATTAAAATGTTAAAATTGACATGGAACAACAGTTGTTCTTACAATGGAATACCAAAAGATAAGTGAAGATGCCAAAATTGATTGTGAAGTCCTATTTGTCTTTTGGCTTCAGTGTTTCTGGCAATTTAAGAATCTTTATCCTCAGCAAGTTGTGTTTATATACATTTATTAGTCCTCTATCTTGAATGTCCTTTTCTCAATGTCAGGTCATGATCACTTTATTCAAACTGGATCTTGTGCAGCAAAGTTAAGAAAGTGGCTGTCAGAGAGCAAGGAGAGAAATAGCACTCTGGAATTGGCAATTTGGCCTTGTAGTTCTGTGTGCTGAAAAAACACGAGTACACTTTCCTAGGGAAAGAAGCAAGTAACGCACCCTCACACATTCAGGTCTTAGCATAAGTCTACTTCCTGAGCAATCTGGGTCCTCTAGTGGTGGAATCTAACAGGGGAATGCAGGAGGGAGGGGCTCTTTCTCAGGGAAATAAGAGGCAGATCAGCAATTATTATTATTTTTATTATTTATTCAATTTTTATCCCGCCCTTCTCCTTACGGACTCAGGGCGGCTGACAGCCTTATAAAACAGATACAACAATAAATACCCAATTTAAAACCTAATTAAAAAGAAATATTTACTGTGGCCTATATAATTAAAATTTCTCTTAAAACCCCACTAAAAATTCCCCTAGGCCAATCCCGCTTGTTGGAAGAGNCAATCATGGAATTCTGGATTTCTCTTCATTCTTTGATCACTTTAAACCAGAACCATGTTCTCACTTCAAGGAAGCTGATTGGGTAACTCATTTTTAAGGTGACTGAAAGGGAAAGATTTTCCTCCCTTTTTCTATTATGAGAGAAGAATTTAGAAATTTTAGATCAAACTCAGCATCAAACTGAGATAAGAAAAGCATTAAAAGTAGGTATACATTTGCAGAAGCATGCATAGATTTTCCTCTCTTCTTTTTCATTCACCAAAGATTTCTGTTTTGCCTTTAACAATAGGGTGGGTAGTGCCCCTTCTTCCACACTCGTCTTTATTTTGCCTTTATACATTTCTATCCCAGGTGGAGACAAAAGGAGAGCTTATAATGGAAAAGTGGGTCCTCTTAAGGCAATTGAAATGATTCACTCTGCTCTGTGACTCATCTCAGAGTTCCCCTTTATAAGATAACAGGGATCATGGAGATCTTCTAGTCCAGCCCCCTGATCAAACAGGAGATCCTATATCATTCCAGGCAAAGGGTTCTCCAATTTCTTCTGAAAAACTTCCCATGTTGGAGCACCCACAACTTCTGAAAGCAAGCCATTCCACTGATTAATTGTCCTCACTTTGGATGCATATTATTGCAGCTGACATTTGCATCAATGTATAAATGCCCTGTTTCAGAAAAGGGAGGGGCTGTTGAAGGAATTATATGAAGAGACAGCAATAGTTCTTGAGTTCTCTACAAAGTGAGAATCAAGTATGGCACAGAGGTTTTTTTTCCCCTTAGTGAAATCAGGAATCCCTTAGGCAAACGTATTGGCATGGATTCAGTCAATGCTAGCAATACTGAAAGGATTCCAGATTGCTCCAAAAATGCCTCTTACTCACAAAATACTGTAAAAACCAACTCTTGGCATTTAAGACCCCATGCACCAGAGGCCCCAAATTTAGTTATATTAACAGGTGAGCAAGGGAAAGATCTGCTGTGACCAATTAATAGCCTCCTTTGGGCTTTTCCTTTGGGGATGCCTTGAACAAACCCTTTCAGCTGTCATTTTTGGAGTAACATGCACTAAGCCAGCTGGAAAACTGCCCTCCAGTAGTATTGTTACAACTCAGAATTTGTGCAAATCCTTTAGCAAACACCTTCTCATATGAGGGCATGAATGAAGCTGAAGGACCCATTCCTTGCTTCTCATAGTCAACAGAGGAAGAGCTCAGGTTGGCTTGAAAGCAGGAAGAGATTGCCTGTCTTCCAGCCAAATCCAGCCTCAAAATGATCCAGGTTCTCTTGGTAACCTATACGAATCGTCAGAAAGGAATAGTTCCATTCTACAAGAGAAACCAAGGGAACAAGTCTAAGAATGACGATTTTCTGATAACGTGGGTTGTCTAACGATACAACTACCCAAAATAAAACCCAAAATAAAAACTGTTAATTGGTTTTAAATAAGGTGAAGTCAAAGATGTCTAAATCGTTTTCTTACGAGAGTTCCTAGACATTTGTTCTAAAGTTACATAAATGGTTTCTTGGTATTTGCTTAAATTTTGTCAAGCCACGTGCAGATCCTAAGAAAGAAAAGTCCTAAGATTGTATATTATTCAGCCAAACAAAAGCTAGTGCTATTGTGGTTGCAGAGAATCTTCAAACTGTACTTAAGATAATATGACACTAACTTTTCTCAATGCAAGATTTAGAATTATCTTAAATTATTTCTTCCCTCCTTTCCTTTTACTCTGCAGAAAACCAGGGAGATTCCCTTCTGAAATTCTTCCCAAGTTCTCCTTCCTTCCTTCTTTTTACAAGCTTCTTTTCTTTTTCCTTACGAAGGGAGCTCTATAATCCTGGAATCTGGGAACGTTAATGATTATGAAGTCGTGTATCCACGAAAAGTCACTGCATTGCCCAAAGGAGCAGTTCAGCCAAAGGTAAGAGAAAGATCTTTGTTTCATCAACAAATTATTTCTTGTCAGCCCACAGAAATTTTGATATTCCTTTTCTGTCATCTAACGGTTATCTGGATTTTGCATTGCAATCTATGTTCCTGCTTGAATTATTTATTTATTTATTAAACAAATTTATATGGCCGCCCAATTCATACCAAATTGAGAAGACTCATGGCAACTTACAAACAGAATTTCCTAATATTTATAGGTTAGTATAACTAAGCAAGTGTTGGGAAACACCCAGCCGAACAGTGAGGAGGGATCGAATGGGGAATTAGCCTTGAGTCATTTCATAGTTGCAACAGATCCAGGACTGACATCCCACCCCCCTTAAACCAGGAAATTCTATTAAAGTTTATCTATCAGTTCTGAAGAGAAGGGAAGCAGTCTAGGGAGATTCCTGTATTATAGGCAGAATATAATAAAGTACTTAATTTAAAGTCTACATGTGTGGATCTGGTTACCTGTGCCTAACATAAATTTACTGTTAATAGGTAACTTTGAGGGATTTCTTCTTCTGTTTTATGCTCTTGGGTCATCCTTCACAAAAGCTGTGACAACTGTGAACCATGAGATTTCAAATTATCCTTTCTAGCTTCCCAGAATCCATCACTTTGAAATATAAAAATTGTGTTTCTAGGTGAAGGTTGTATAGTGATGGGGGTTACAGCTCAAGATTAGGACTACGAACCAGATGACTTTTGAGTCAGTCTCTCTGTCCCAGCTCAACCTCATTCACCAAGATGTTCAATTAGAGAATGAGATCTTGAACTTATGCAGGAAAGTTCATTTAAGATCTTACATTTCAAAGCACCAGATGAAATACTCTAAATCTAATGAATAATTTGGCTATTTCAGTATGAAGACGCCATGCAATATGAATTTAAAGTGAATGGAGAACCAGTGGTCCTTCACCTGGAAAAAAATAAGTATGTTAACTCAGACTATTTCTTAACTTTACTTGGACAATATGGAAAATGTATGTTCCTGGACACAATATAAGAGAAATAATAATTGCATTCCTTTGTTTGGAAATTAAAACTAAATTAATGTTAATAGCCATTCTCATGGGATTAAAATACCTGCTCCTTTTCTTTGATACCAAACAAGATTCTTAAAACTTATTATAAAATTATTTCAGTCCTACTTAATTCCTGACATAGAGATTCTCTTTTTGCATTCTTTGCAGAGGACTTTTTTCAGAAGATTACAGCGAGACTCATTATTCCCCTGATGGCAGAGAAATTACAACAAACCCTCCGGTTGAGGTGGGGTCTTAATTTTAAGAGTCTTCCTTTTAGGAAGTAAATTGAAATAAATGTTTGTGCACAATATTACAAATATACAGGAATGAGACCAGGCTACTCAAAAAAGGGCTATATATGTATGAAGTATCTTATATTGATATGCTCTTAGAAGGATATATAGATTGTTATACCCAGCTTGTTTTACTCATTGAATTACCATGGGAGCATTTCAATAATCCAGTTCTTTCTTACTGGTCAAAAATCAACATTTGTAGGAGTGAGTTTTCATTTATAAACCAGACTACAGGGATACATGCAAAATCTTTCATTTGTAATGCCAAAAGTGATAACAATTCACTCTCCTCCTATACAGAAATCCATAAAATATATTTCACATTAAAAGGGTTCAGAACATGGCCTGCCAACGGCAAAAATATGACAGCACTAACATGCTTCGTGAAGTCCTTGGCTCCTTGCCCCCAAATTGATCTAAACTAAATTGATCTAGTCCTCAGTCTCCAAAAATTATCTACTTCTGGCTTAGCATCTTCAAAGGTCATATAAATTGCTCCTATTTAGTGTGTAACAAACATATCTTGATTTTAATGTCTACATGGATCCTGCTTCCAGATAATGCTACGAATTATATCTCTCGGCATATTTCTGAAAGCTTTCCTTGTGTGAGCTCAAAGAAATAATGATTATCTGGTATCATTGGTAAATGTGGAATTTTTCATACATTATGGTAAGATTTCAGAACGTAGGACAACCATCAAGTCTGAAAGTTTCTTCAGCAAATCCTGTGGTTCAGCACTAGAGTTGACCTCCAAGAAAACATTTTATATTTGTATGTTGGTTGTCTGCCCA